TTCCATCCTGCACGTTTGAAAAGTGGAATGTCGGCCACATCAATCAAATGTGCCAGTTTGGAAACAGCAGGTCCAGAAATGAGCATTTGTATTATTTTATTTCCACAGTGAAAACGTTCAGTGCTGAACCATAACCGAGCCTTGTTTCCTTATTTGAATCCAGGTACATGCAGTAAACAATACAGAGGGGCACCTGCCACGCTCAGGTTTTTGTGTGTTCCATAGTTTCACCTCTATATTAGTGCAGGTGGTAATATCATGCAGCAGCCTGGGACTGCAAATGATCAAAATCACAACTTCACTTGACCTGAAACCTGGAGGTAAACTGCTGTAGTCTTTCTTCTCTTACACATACACACACACACAAGCTGCAGCATGAGGTGATTTCACTCCCCGTGGAGAGGAGATTGGTAAAGCTTTCAATCTTTGGGGAAATCGCTGCCGGGTTGTTGAAAGAAGAAGAAACCTTTTGTAGCTCCATCTTGTAACCGGCGTTTGATGCCGATAGACCAACTACAACCTGCACGGCGGCTTTTTATTTTGCCAGGATGAGAAGCTGCTGCTGACTTCTCCCACTAAGGCTAATATTGATTCAGCCACTTCTGACAAAGATGATATGTGCAAAGGGAGTCAATCTTCCTTTTTACATTTTTCTCCCCACCTTTGTTTATTTGCTTTGCCGAGTCTCCAAACTAAGATTGAGAGCAGATTTCACCGCTGTGAGGCCACATCCCAGACTGACTAATGTGCTCGATGATAGAGAAGAAAAAAATCTATTTTCCATTCATCTACCTCAGCCCAAAAGAAACGTGGCACCGAAATAGAAGCGAGCCTGCTGTGCTGATGCAATGCAGGTGGTAATGGACATTAACATTCATAGCCTGACTTGTTTTATCTGCTCCTGCGCACCTTGCTGTTCAGCACACAATCACTGTAAATGTAATGAAGTCTCAGCGCCTCTTCACACAAGGAGCCAGTTGTTTGGGTTTTCTTGTCGTTGTTTTTTTCTTAAATTTGTTTCTTTGTTGGCGTCATGCTGCATTTAAGTGCTGTAGTTCTAACCGTGGGTCTGTTGTACCGCTGGCGTGGTTCATTGAGACAAATTCCCGTGGTGATAATGGACCCTTCGCTGAATCCGTCGGCCAAGACGTGATTGTCCAATCATCGCTTGTGGCAGACCTGTCGAGCTTCGGATTTCTCTGCATGTTGAAGTGAGGTTTGTGCTTGTCGGGCTAAAGCAAGAACAACAATCTGCCTTTAGAGAATTTGGAAGGTTTGTCAATCTGATATTTTTCCTCGAAAAGCTAACTTCATGGATTCTTGAGTAAAGATACATTTGTCACAATATGCTAATTACAGCTAAATGATGTACCTGTTATCTAATCATTACCATATATGAAACATATATATTAAAGTAGATTGAGTGTATATCTCCCCCAGAGCCCATCAGTCCTCTTATGAAATCACATTTAAATTCACCAGATCCTGGTTTTCACTTGGCTAAATTGCACACACTCATAGATAATAGTCTCGTAGAGATGCCTCCATTTTCCTCGTCAAGATTCATGAATTATTCTTTGAGAAAATGTTGACAGAAACGTCTGCCCCCTGATTCAGATCTGCAACAAAATGGTTTGGGTTCTTCCCTGATCCATAGCACAGCCTCCCACCTTTTTGCGTAAACGTGCTTACTGACAAACAAATGCAGATGAAAACAAAACTTCCTAGTTAGAGGTAAAATAAAGTGGACTTGAATGTAGACTACACTGTCTATTAAATGCCCTTTATTAGAATAACACCAAGCTCTGATTGAGATGCTGTTTTTTTAAACTGTGCAATAAATTCTGTATTTATTATTTATTCCGATTTTTTTACCTTCAGACAACCAGGAAGAAAAATTATATTTCAACTCTGAGACCGACGTTTATCTTCCAAGAGCAATTATAACATATTTCAAAATGTCAGAGCCGGTGGTAAATGACTGAAGGGCTTGTTGAGATAAGACTGTTCTCCCCGGGACCATGGCTGGTCAATTATCTCCGGAGCCAGACTGCGAGCTGCTGAGATGATTGGCCGGTCTTCACGTGGCAGGGAAGTCTTCAATACTCCAAAAACATTGCTGCAAATTTCCAAACAGGCTTCATCTGGATAGAGTGACGACGATTCAAAATATTAATGGTGATGCATCTCTGACAAAATGTAAAATGAAATCTATAATCAGTCCGTCTTTCCTCCTCCTCTGTCTCCAGCTTTTGTAACTCACACATTTAACAGTTAAACTATTTTTAGAAGCCCAGGATTAACGATGATGGATGTGCCATAACTAATGCCAGCATCTCTTTCAGCAGGTAGGCTCTCCCAGCAGTGAGCACAAAGCCGCACTGCTGTTTTATGGCATATTTTACAAATTGCATGCGTTTTGTTAAATTGAGCATTTGACAGGACGCACGCTCATTCATGTGAATCGATATGGCAACATGCCGGGCTGGCTTCCACAAAATCCTGCGTGGTATAAATCTCTGCAAAGCAACATGCATGGCGACTTTTAGTTAAACTTTTTAAGGAAAGGAGAAACAGGATTTTGATAAGGAACTGTAATTTAATTGCATATGCTGTAACTGTAATGGGTTTTGACATCTGATTTATTAATAATTCAATTTACTTCATACTGTTAGCTTCCTTCCTCTAGTGTGATATCAGACAGCAAGTGCATATTTAAGGCTTTTACAGGGTATTTCAATTAAAGATGCCATTGATGGTCACTCCAGTCAGAAAAATGAGAATCATCTGAAATCAAGAATATATAATTTTGTAAAATGATTGTAAACTGCTTAATGTGCTTTGTTAAATGGCTCAACAGGCCAAACAAGAATTTATCACAACCTGAACACTTTTTAAACATGTCGTATATAAATATTTTGCCACAGCTTCAGAGTAGTGATGTGCTGCGTCCACTTGATTATGTGCTATTTTCAGTTTGGCTTGACCAGACAGGTAGAGACACAACTGGGTCAGTCAGCTGCGACGGACACGCAGCGTAATACATAACCACAGCCGTCTATGAGCTTCCCCCGCGTCACTGTCCACCGACGTGACAGACGCGGCGGAACCAGCAGATCCTCTTCTCCATGTTGATAAACTGCACTTTACAAGCTTGCAGCGTTGAAATTCAGCACGGACATGCAGCCTGTCAGATACACTACGCATTTGTGTGTCAGTGTGTGTGTGTGTGTGTGTGTGTGTGGCTAGCAGGCAGAAAGCCAGCATGACCCAACTTCAGCTTTTCAGCTTTAGTGCGGGGCTGCAGACAGCTGTGCCACAAACACGCTGCTGTGGATCACCGCGAGGGCCTTTTTATTTAGGTCACATTCTGTGCTTCAGCGGCCAACAGAAGGGATCTCCGTCAACTGCAATGAATACCTTTAGTCTGACACAGCCCACTTTTTGTAAGTGCCCCTGCAAGAAGTGGACACTGTGCGTGCGTGTGTTATATGTAATCGCATGTGCGCTTTGTGTGACTTCACTCCTGTGGCCTCAGCATATTGCAGATGGGGGAGGGGATTGACTAATATATGTCTTTCCCCCACGAACAATACAAGACTCATATATTGGCTTAGTTCTCCTCCAGATCCTCCACAGACGGGAAATTGCATGAATAACTCCCCCAGTTTTTCTAATTAATCCAGCAGCCAGTTTACTGGAACGTCAAAGAAAATAATAAATCAGTCTCTCCCTGTATTTGTGCACATAAATACATTCAGCATGTGCCCTACACAGTGTCCTCTAGTTATGTAAAGAACTGACATGATATTTCATCCCGCCGCTCTGTCTCCCTCATTTTCTCTTATCGTTTCTCCCTTCACTTCCTCTCCTCCCCCCTCTCTACCTCCTCCTTGTTTTCCTCTTTTTATATTTTTACATTTACCACAGTGGCCTTTGGTAGTGCATTATAAATCGCAGTAATGAATTCCCAGGCTCGACCACAGCGCTGTCGTCGAGCTGCAGCGCTGAGCGTGGGCTCTTATTAGCCTCACCTCCAGTCCATTGGAAACGGTGTGGGTTCAGGGGCTGAAGCCAGTCGCGGCTCCAGATGGGTACGGGAGGCAGTTTAAGGGCGCTGATGGATGCCATTGTTTTCATGTCACCATGTAAGGGAAAGGTCGTTTATTGCCGGTTGCCTTGACCGGGCCAGGAGCTGTCAGCCGGGTTTTACCGGCCAATTAGTTTGGCGTCAGTGGGGAACTATAGAGGGAAAGCGTTTGATCAGGCTGTGATCATTTGTGGTCTTTGCTAGTGAGGGATGTGCATGAGCGTGTAGCAGGTAAGCAGGTGTACTGCAAAGCACAAAATAAAATAAATGCACTTTTTAAGAAGGATTCAATTTAAGAGGCTGCAGGAGGCAGTTTTTGCAAAATCATTTGAGGGATTAAGACTACATCCACACTGCTATGTTTTAAAATGCATCATTCTTGTTATGTTTACACCTGTGGTCCACGCTGCTCCCACCAGAGGGTTCGAACGCTGAAAACAGAGAAGTTGGGAAACGCTCAGGAATGTATCAGCAGCGAACCTTCGCCTCCCGTTCACATTTGAACTCTCCTTGATATCTCGTCTTCGCTTTGTTTTTCTCCGTTTCCTCAATCCCCTGTCACTTTTTTTTCAATGCGAGCAGAGCGGTGGCGGAGGAAGCTTGAGGATAGAGATGGATGTCAGGGACCACATGCCAACTGGCTGCTATATTTAGAGTCGCTCCTTCTTTAAAGTTTTGAAGGACAAAAATAAAAGGTTGGAAGAAAGAATCGGCTCAAGTCCCAACAACATCAGGAAATGTCCTCATCTGTGAAGCATTGCCAAAAAGCATCTTCTTCAAATTAAAGCTGAACGAATGCACCACACTGTTCTTTGAGTGTATGCAAATATGAGATATTTATAATTTTCTTTCTTCTCTCTCTTCTTGTTTGTTTGTCTCTTCTTCTTCATGGCTCTGTGTTTCTCTGTAGAAGTAGTTCTGGGGCCTGTGCAGACTTCCCGCCGCAGCAGTTGGATGTCGACGCAGCCACGATGACAATGAAAGGCCTGTCCAGCAGCCGCAGTCACCATCACACGGTGACATGTGACCCCTCTTACGACTCCATGACCCTGGGGCACTCGGATCGCCGGCCCTACTTCCTCAACCCTGGGGAGGCTCATTCTGCTGACCACCCTTGCTACCCCCAGCGCAACTCCTTCCAGTCCGAGTGCAGCGCGTACCCTGATCTGGCCAGCTGCACCTTCCCTCGCAGACATTACAGCTCCCACCATGAGCTCAAGGAGGAGTGTGGCGCTGTGGTGCCATATACGGGGCCAACGGGAAGCGTTAAGGGAAGCGGAGGAAGCAACAACCGCATCTCTTCGAACCTGCTGGAGCAGTTTGAGTGCCAGGCTCCAGTGCGTCACGAAGGCTACCACACGCTGCAGTACAAGCGCACTGCGGTAGAACACCAACGCAGTGACAGCCCCGGTCGAATCCGCCATCTTGTTCACTCCGTCCAGAAGCTTTTCACCAAGTCCCACTCCCTGGAGGGTCCGTCGGGAGGAGGAGGGAGCGGGAGGATGAACGGTAGCAAATCCAGTCCGGATGACCCTCCCTCGTCCTCCGGCACCCTGAAGCACAGCAAACGCAGTAAGAGCAAAGACCGCTCAAAGTCTGAGCCCAAGATGCGCACTGCCATCTCAGGCTACTGGAGCTCAGACGACACGCTCGACCGGGAGATGTGCCTCTACCACCATCACCACGGGGGGAGCAGTGGAGGCCTCCCCTCTGGGGTCATGACTATGGGGCGCCATCCTGACAAATCTCAGTCGCAGTACTTCATGGAGTCCTACAACACTATCAGTGCCCACTCGCTCAAGACTTCGCGCAGCAACAACGACGTGAAGTGCTCGACGTGCTCCGGGGGCAGCGGCGGCGGGCTGCCGCTGGTGAGCGCGCTGGACGGCCAGGTGCAGCTGAAGAAGAGCTCATGGTCTTCTACGCTGACGGTGAGCAGAGCAAGAGAGGTCTACCAGAAAGCCTCAGTCAACCTAGATAAAGCTCTAGTGAAAGCCGAGCAGGGACGCACCTGCCACTTCCTACAGGTAGGACAGTTACCGCATCCCCACCACCAGCATGTCATGCTTCATGCATCATCCGGCGGCAGCTGCTCCTGCATGCCGCTGTGTTCCTGCATGCGTGTGTCTGCGTGGGTTAGAGAGATTGATCAGGGAGGCGCTGGCCCACGTCCTGTAATGTTCCAGTGTGTCTCACATGATCATCGCTCTCATCTTAATCCCTCATATCATCATAAACCAAAATCATCACGTCATCTGCTCCTCTGTGTTTGTGCCGACGTGCATGGAAACAGTAACACGCAGGTGGAGGTTTACGTCATTGTCTCTGTGCTGCAGAAGTCACAGGATAGTGTGTTTAGTATTCAAGCAGGAAGCTGATTTTATATCTACTTTCTGACCGGTCAGGTTTGTGCAGCATTACTGCAAACCAGCATTTTTTTTTTTTTTTTTTTACAGTATTGCAGCCCAGAACGACTGAATCAGAACTACCCATCTTATCAGTTATGAGAGCACAAGACGTACTTTCAGCACTACCATGAGATCAGAGCGAGCGAGAACGAGCACATCAAAAAAGGAAAGACAAAATGCTCCAGTCCCCAAACTCAGTTGTCTCACACACACTCGAAAAGGCACAAGGACACACACACACACA